CGGCCCTGCCGGCTGGGTCCGCAGCGTGCTCTGCATCCCATGGATATAGCAACAGGTCCCGAGTCGCTGGAGAGGTGCTTCCCCCGCGGGCAGACGGACTGCGCCAAGATGCTGGATGGCATCAAGATGGAGGAGCACGCCCTGCGCCCCGGGCCCGCCACTCTGGGGGTACTGTTGGGTGAGTGCTGGGTCGGGCGCTCTAGTGGGCACGGGCAGGGGACAGGGCGTCGTCTCGCAGTGGACGCAGGCATTGAGGCCAACGGATAAAGGAAATGGGTTCGCAGCGCACGGGGAGGAGGGGACAAGGACAAGGCTCCTAAGTGATCACCAAGGGGCAACAAGCACGCCTAAGTGGTCTCCCTGAGGGGACGGGGTGTGCGTGGGCATGCCTCAGGATGAGAGGACAGGACAGCTCCAGCCGCCAGCTGCCATCCTCACCCGGCCTAGGTTCTGGAGCTGCTGCACCGGACAGGGATAGGAAGCGGGTGGCAGGATGACAGAAAACCCAAGTAGTCACCTTCGCCTGCCTGGGAGAGGTGCCTGGTCACCTGGGAAGTGGGGGGAGCTTCTAGGAGAAAAATGTCCCCTGGGCCATCCAAACCACAGTTTGGGGGGGGGGGTTGGGGACAGAAGACTAAGATCGCCACCGTGGGGCGTGTCAGCCAGCGAGTGCCTCAGCCTCACCTCGCCTGTCTGGGTCCCAGCCGGCTGCCCCACGCTGCAGATTAACACCAAGCACTCTATCTCCGAGAAAGGGGACAGCGCAGCGCCTGGCCAAGGCTCGAGGGCCGCGGCTGTCCGCGTGGGAGCCCACAGTCTGGGATGTACTAGCTAGGGCTGCCCGGCCCCTGGCGCGGCGGCCGGAGAAAGGGAGCACAGGCGGCGGGCGACGCTCCCGGGCCACACTAGCCCTCGAGGCTGGGAGCTGCGGGCACGGCTCGCCCGCTGGAATGCTGGGGCTGGGCCGGGCGGCGCTGACGGCCCGGCTCTCGCCCTGTGCGCTGCAGGCTCTGACTGTCCGCATCCCGCCGTCTGCGAGGGCTGCCAGCGGCCCATCTCCGACCGCTTCCTGATGCGAGTCAACGAGTCGTCCTGGCACGAGGAGTGTTTGCAGTGCGCGGCGTGTCAGCAAGCCCTCACCACCAGCTGCTACTTCCGGGATCGGAAACTGTACTGCAAACAAGACTACCAACAGTAAGCGCCTCTCGTCCTGCTCCTTCCCCGCTGCCCAGCCCTTGAGCCCGGTCAGCCCCCTGCCGGGCAGGGCCCACACCGCCTCACTGAGTCAGGCTCTGCGTTCCACTGGGCCCGGCAACTCCTAGGGCTCCGCAGGCTGCGTGTTGCAGGGCTGGATCGGATTATCCCATCCGGCCAGCGCTGGCCTCTAGGTGCCACGGTTGTCCGGGGAAACCTGTGCTGGACTACTGAGTTGGGGTACAAGACAAGGCCCTGGGCCAACTGGTGAATGTGATGCCCGAGTCCTGGGGTCCGGATTTGGCCCACTGAGGTCTGAACAGAAACCAAGAATTGATTTTCAAAGGCAGGTAGTGCTTTAGGGACCCAAGCCTGGAGTGTTCTTTCCCAGCCCAAGAGTGGGTTTGGGTTTCCTGGAGCAGGAAAGTCGTGCCCTGGGCACCAGCCTGCCTTAGCAGTTAGGAGCCCCCACTCCAACAGGCTCCCTTCTGCACTTTTAGTCCCTGGTGGAGAGAAATGAGTGCCCATATTCCCCAAACCGTTCCATGCGGGAATTTTGCAGTTATAATTTTTCTTGGCTGGAGAAGCAATCTAGGAAGAGGATCTTAAAATGGCAAGTTGCAGTCTAGAATTCACGGTGAGGTGCAGAACAGAGCCAGTTGGCCCTCCCAGACCACCTCCTTTCTTGCAGTGTGTGTTGGAGAGGGGTCACCTGCTCTGACCATGGGTTGAGCCTTACCTGCTGGCTTCTGTGTTTAACTGTGCCTGTGGATTTGTATGGCAAGAAATCTGGGACAGAGGAGAATAGATGTAAGCTTTTTCTTTTGACCTGCTGGTTTTGTGCCTTACGGTGCAGTTGGGAGGAAGGCAATAAGGAGCAACAGCGGAAAGAGGGGTGTGGGGGTCCCCACGGTGGATTGTAGGGATAGCTGGGTGCCTGTGAGAACTTTTAGTGATGCCCAGAAAATTGTCTTGGAGAGAGCTGTAGGGTGGGGAGATGGCCGGATGATTTGGGGCTGGAGAGGACTGTGTGTGCCCACACCTCCAGGAAAAGGCTGGGTTGCTTGTGGTGAGTGCTGAACGTAGCCTCCCTGCTGTGCCCAAGGAGTATCCCCAAATCCAGGGTCTGGTGGGCAGTAGAGAAGCCCAACAGCTGGCTTGGCGGAGGCTGTGGAACTGCGACTGCAAGCCAGAGCCCTAGAGAGGGCATCAGGTTCTACCCTAAAGGTGCTGGCTGTGTCCCCTTGGTGTGGGGAAGGGCAGGAGCTGCTTTTTGCGCCTTGCTCTTCTGCTGGCTGGTGGCTCTGTGGGCAGGAATTGGGGTCCATTCCGATGATCGGCTCTTTTGCTGGTCCTGGGACACAGCTGACAGAGGCCTCTCCCGCTGTATGAAGTAGTGTCCTGGGCTGGTAGGATTCTAATTCTGGATAAGGGAAAGGCCACCAGTCAGTTTACTCACAGCGGGCCATAGAGCAGCGCAAATAAAATAGGGTCCATGTGGTTGTGGGCTTTGGGCAGGCCCGGGGAGCGTGTGATGGGGTATACCAGCCCCCAGCCCATCCATACCCTGCACCCCTGGCCCTGCTGTGCCCGCCTGATGCTGAGCTTTGCTCTAGCAGTGCCAACTCTCACCCAGCTCAGCCACTGGCTTCAGTAACTCAACACGTGGGGCCAAGAGACCAGGGAAACTAGAAACGGGCCTCTGAAATATTCACGTAGCTTTAATTTTTTTTTTTTTTGTCCGAAAGACTCTTTCCAACCTCTTGTACATATGTACTCCCTAATCATTATAGGGCGTCTCTTTAAAAGAACTCAAGCATGCCCCCCTGGTCCTGCAGTCACAAAGGCGACAAGTCACAACATTTGAGCTTGGGTGTTGCCTTAGAGATGAAGGACTGACCCCCTCATTTTACAAAACAATTCAACATTTGCAACTGCTTTGTCCAATGTATATTTGTTTTTAAAAGAAAAAGTCGGCTAAGAGCCTGCTGCTTCTGTGCAATCTTGTGCGTTGGGAATGAATTTTGTCGTAGGGTGAATCTCAGGTTCTGTCGCTTAGAGTCCGGCGGTGAGGCTGAAGCCTCAGGGAGGAAAGGGGAGGCATTATTCTTTCCACTCCGGTCTCCTCCTCCTCCCTCATCCCCTCTTTCTTCCCGTTTATGCCAATTAGGTATCTTCACTAGGCTGGCCTGCGGGGATGCTGGGCGGGGTGGTAGGGTGGGGGTTATCCAGACAGTTTGGGGGACAAATCCCCCAGTGGGCCCAGGCACCATTTCATGGGGAGAGCAAGCAAAGCCAGGCAGGCAAGAGCTCCCTGGGAAGCAAATGTTCTTTACACAATAAGATTTTTTTTTTTATTCACGATTTCTTTTTTTTTTTCTTTGAGAATCACACATGCATATTTATTTCATCTGTGTGCAAATGCTTTTCAGCCGAGAACTGAGACAAGTAGGCACAGAATTGTGCCTTCTAGGTTTTGTCTAGTCTGTATGTCAGTGGCATTGGGAAACTAACACCCCCCAACTTTTGAGGGGAAAAAATGTGTCCTCACCGGGTTGTAGGAGCTCCGGGTTGTTCCTTAAAGGTTGCCATCTTTAGTAAATGTCTCTTCTTCCTTTCCATTTGTTCTCAAAGACCCAGGCACCCAGATGTGTAGTTATTTTACGCACCATGGGGGTGATTAATTGACGTTTGGACACATTTAGTAACATTAGATAAAATCCACCTTTATGTCCTTAGTTGAGCAAAACTGAGTGAGTTTGGGCATTTTTGCTTGTGACTCGAAAAGGATCCTTCTCTCTGCGTGGTTTTTTTTTGAGGGGGTGCTCCTTCTGAAAAACAAAACCAAAAACAGCCACCACCTTCGCCCCTTTTCGGAGCAAAAACCCGATAAGAAACCCGGGAGAAACACGGCCTCTGCGAAATCGCGGACCTCCGTGCCTTCCACCGCAGAACAGACAGAAAAACAATAACCAAAAAATGACAACATCCCCTCCCCAATTTGTTTTCTTGGAGGTTTGGCCAAATTGAATTCTGTAACTCTCTTTTCTTGCTGTCTGTCGCTGTCTGGAAAGGCTTTCTATCCTGAGGAGGTGGCGATTCCTAGAGGAGGCTCCGGAAGGGGGGAGGGCCAGTGGGAGAGTCCAAAAATCTGTCACAAAATGGAGTCTAATCGCTTGTAATACAGTTCCCAGGTCTAGCGACCCGAAACTCGGTGGTGTGCAAGCGGGAGCCTTTGTGTGCGAGCCGTGGGACGCGGGGCTCCTGCCCGGGTGTCCGAGGCTGGTGGCTCCTTTCTGCCGCCCGGCCTGCCCTGGGCGCCCAGCAGCAGGCAGCTCCCACTCCCCGGGCTCCACTGAGCCTGCCCGAGTGCCTTGGGCTCCTCTCCCTAGGTAGGATGCCGCCACCGGGGTGGAAGATGGTGTTGAGACTGGATGGGAGTTTCACAAAAAGCCGTCTGAGTCCTGGGGTGGTTTTTAAAAAATTTTCCCAGCTGGCTGTGGCTGCAAGTGGCCCAACCGTGCTCTTCCCAGCACATTCCTTTCCTTGGAAGTGTTTACACCAAGGCCTTCCTGGGAGGCTCACCTCGCACCGGAGCCCGGAGCCCGGAGCCCGGAGCTCAGAGCCCGGAGCCCGGAGCCCGGAGCCGGCAGAGTGCCGGTGTGGTTGTGGCACTGGAGGAACAAAGCCAGGTTGGAGCCTTTTCTGGCAGCTGCTGCTGTTCCCAGCTTGAAGACCTTCTGTAGGCCTACGGCAGCATCCCCTTCCCAGTAGATACCTAGCCCAGCAGGGACCCTCAAAGGGCTAATTCAGGGCTACAGGCACCACTGCCCACAGCCTGGGATAGAGAATCTGTCCTAGACCAATCTGCTTTGGAAAAGGAGACTTTGCCTTATAAGAAAGCCTTCGGGTCGCTCTCCCCTCGGGGGGCCTGAGGGCTGAAGGACTCAGTGGGCCAGCCTAAGTCTCGGACCCTCTGGCCCCATTGAAAGGCACCTCTCCATTTAACCCCAGCACCTTGGCTGTGGGCAGGAGGGTAGGCAGAGGCCTCCCTGACGCTGCAGTCATCTGCTGCTGAACGGAGGCATTATTCACAGCGACTCCTGCTCACCCTCTATTCCCCAGGCTCTGGGCTGGTGTAGCCTTATTTGTTTGCCGGATTTTTCTCAAGTGGGGGAAGCAGGCTGTGAGGATCTGCTTTGGAGTATGTGATTGGTGACACTCAGCTCTCTCCAGAGCAAAAGCCTAGTTTAGGGACGCACAGCTCTGGCACCTAGATCCTTTCTATACAATGTGAACCATCTACCTGGAGGAAAGTATTCTTATAGAGACTCCTGATAAGGTGCCCCAAAGGAGCTGGCATCTTGCCTGGCATGTTATTAACACTCTGGAAATTATTGTTATATTGTTGCCATCATCGTAACAGGTAATGCCTTGTCCCTAAAGACACAGACTGCCGACAGGTTCCCTGCCCAAGGTGCAGCTGGCGTGCTGGGCTTGCCATGAGCTCTTTCTGCAGGGAGGATGCAGGGCATCCCTGGGGAAACCATTCCCTGTGCCTGGCTAGGACATCGTGAGGGTCCTGCCCCCCTCAACCACCAAAAGAGCTTTAGGCTCTGAGTCCGAGAGAGCTTCCCTTCCCAGCCCGCTGTTGATCTCCCTTAAGTGGCTGCCCCTCCTTAAGCTTGGTTCTCTATCGCCAAACCAGGAGGGTGGCATCACGTGTGGGGTGGTTGTGTGGATTTCATTTTGAGGGGCACCTGGTGGAGCTGCAGTAAATGTTTCATCCTCCAAGAGATCTTTTGCCCTCTTTTGCACCTCAAGAGAGATGGAGAAACTTTTGATCCTGAGCATGAGGTCCATGCCAACAGGGTGTTTGTTAGCAGGAAGGGCAGGCAGCCGGCGGGCCCGGGGCACCACTCTCTTCCTCCTGGGGGCAGGGAGGTTGGCCTAGAGCAACTGTATTTCCACTAGGGAACAATTGGCATCTCCAGGGTCTA